CACAATCCGAACGGCCCTGCAGAAAGACATCATCTATCGATGGGGTACTCCACGGGGACTACTGGCGGATAATGAAAGCCAGCTCGTAAACAAGGACTTGAAGGCGTTGGCTGCTTCCACTAATATGAAGCACCACATGACACCCACGTATCATCCCCAGACGAACGCCAGCGAAAGAGTGAATAGCTCGCTGAAAGCGATGATACGCGCGTTTGTCGAGACACACCACCGGGACTGGGACTGTCACTTGCATGCAATCAGATTTGCATACAACGGAACCCATCATAGGTCGCTGAAGGCTACCCCGGCTTTCGTCAATCTCGGGCAACAGTCCGAGCCAGTCAATTCGCTGCGACGACCAATAGAGGATGATGTAGAGGTAGAAGAGACCCCGACAGAAGCCTGGGTCGAGTGCATCAAGCGCCATGACACCCTGCGACTAGCCTTTACGCATGCATTGGTGGAAGCCAATGATCGGCAAGCGCAAGCCTATAATTTGCACTGACGGAGGGGTGTGTGCGAGTTCGGTAAGCTTGTCTTGGCTCGCAACCACAAACTGTCCAGTACTGCAAAGCATCATTCAACGCCGCTGAACAAACCGTGCTCCGGCATCTCCCGCAAAATCTCATGTCTCGCTTCGGAGCATGGGGTGACGACCTGTGTGTTTCCGAAGTGTATCTGAACATGGAAGAAAGAGGTGATTGTGTGTGGCCCGTGAGTCTGAAGTCGAATGAACTCCTGTCGATCCGACATGCGCCGCTATCTTCAGTAGCCAGGGACGGTGGCTTGCGACGTTACGTGGTAATTGGAAGCCGAGAGCGTGGGTGGTAGTAAGGTGGACGGTAAGATATCCACCTCGGTCAGATCAGCCTCTTAGCGTTCCAGGTCCTGAGGAATCCTAGCGAAGTCGCAGGCGAGTATGACCTTGCCACCAGTAGCAGTACCCGAGGGTAAGAGAACCGCCCTGGGTTGCCTGGAAAGGCCTAACGGGGCTCAGAGTCGCAGACGCTAACGACATCCTACCAGTGAACATTCGACGGGCGTTTAAATTAACAAAAATTCCCCCTAATACAACGATAGCTTACTGTTTAATACCTCATGATGGTATTTTTGAATAGAACTCTCTTACTGATGAGGTGAAAAAACTGATTTAGGAATTTGTGTTCTAAATAATGTCCTACTTCCATGGTTGAATGAATACGTCAATACATTCCAATTATAAATAGTATATTGTGCGCCAAAGGAGGAAAACAGCTCAATCTAACCCGCGTGTATATTACCGACCTGAGGCGAAGCCGAGAGTGGGAAACATGCGGGGTTGAGTGTCCTGTTTTCCTTTCTCGGTGCCCATTGTTCTTTCCGTCATCACTAAGCGGAAAAGTTCGATTTTTCTTCCTGAATGAGCGAAAGAATGAGGGTTATGTCATCCCGAATATCCTCAGAAACAACAGAAATCTAAGGGATTGAATAAGCTACTTTCTTCCCGTCAGTAATTCGGGAGTAAAATCAAACTTTCCGTCTAGGTATGATGGAAAATATTTCTTAATTGGTCAATTAAAAAAATATTAAGAAAGTTATTGTATGAACTTTTTTCTTATTGTTTTTTATTTTTCGATTTCTCGAAAGAAAACGAGCACCCACCCCACTCAGCCACCTCGAGTATCATTTATGTTGGCGGTCCCAAAGAGCAACTTCTAGTCCAGCCAAATTAACGGGCTCATTAAAATGAAATCGTCTCAAAACAAAAACATTTCAGTAACATATTTTATTGAGCTGTTATAGTGTGACGTGCATCGTTTTTTTTTGTTTGAGAGAGAGAGCCGCGCCCAATCCGCGAATCCCACACCGTGGAGAAAAATTAAAATAAATAACCACAACTAAAATAAAATAAAATTACGGTCTCGCGATTTTCCCGGACAGCCCTGAGGCTACACTAAGGCGGTTTAAAGTTTTAGGATTTTCCCTGCTAATTCCGGAATTAGCAGGAGATTAGGGAATTTTAGGGGAATTTACGGTGGGAAAAATTACAAGGGTTATTCTCTGCCGAATCAGCAGGAAATTGGAGATTTATTAAGGAAAGTTTAGGATTTCGGGATTAGCAATTAAGGTGGGAAATCGTGTCGGCCCTCAATCTCGTCGCCAAGAGGGATAATATGAAATTATCATCCGACGTAGACTTGGGGGTTATTCCGTTCGCGAAATCTTCCCGGGATGAACCGTCTGGCTGCGAGTGCCAGCACTCCTGAAAGAGGGATTCGTGAGGAATCTTATTTACGGGTTAGTGTTGGAAGGTCGGTGGGGGTGGTACGACTGACACCTCCCCGAATTGCCGTCTTAGGTTGAGTTATTTAGGGTTAGAGTGTCCACGAATCCCCGGGGGAAACAACCGGGAAAGACCAGCCACGATAGTTAGGGTAGTTGGGTTAATTATTAAAAATTCGATTCCCCCATTCAAATTTGAATGGGGAGAAATTAGCGCGTCAGGACAATTAGCGCCGTCGCGTTCAATCCACCGGAACTAACGTTCCGGCGAGACACGAGTTCCGCCATATTTTGGCAGTTATCGCCAGGACGTAAGAGCCAACGAACGAGTTTTCCCCAGAGAAAGAAAGAAAGGCAAGGAGAAGACAATGGGAGGATCCCATCCGATCCGGAAATCGCCTGGAAAGGGGAGGAAATTTCTTTTGTTTCATCCCAGTAACACCGGTTACTCTGAGATCGCATATTTAATTCGGTTCGCGAGTGAATTAATCCTGTTCGATCGACCGATCGAACGGTGTTTCCCTCCGTTGAAGTGCCCGCTAGTGTTTTGTCGGCCATGGTTTATCCGAAAACCATGGCTGATCGCGTGTGGAGGATTATTCATCCCACAAGGCCGTCCCTGTGGAGGTTTTGGGGCATATCGCGCAAGAAAACGTGTGAAAATCCCGGGGGAAACCGTTGAAAAACCCCGTGGAAACGTGAGGAATTTACTCGGGTAACCTTGAGGGGTGTCCATGCCGTCGAGGCTTCGAGTGTTTTCCCCCACTCCGCTCCGCTCATCGTTGAGCGTGAATTCCAGCACAACGGTGCTGAGAAAATCCCGTTTCCTTAAAACGGAGATATTGCGATCCTCTTGCATAGTGGAGTTCCCCAATTTTGGGAGGATGTTCGCGAATATTCCCCCTCACCGGTGGAGTTTATCCGATGACGATCGGTGGAGGCATTGAGGCGTCGCGAATTTTTATCCGTCGGAAAATTTTCCAACGCGTGTCGCGCGCGTTGGGCGTAGTGCGATCTCTCTCGCACATTATCGTCCATCTCTCTCGCTCTCCCGTATCCCCTCTTCCAGGCTCTCCGCGGATTTTCTCGGCGATATTAAAACTTTCACATGTAATTAATTTAATTCTGTTTTTTGGGGATTAATCCCGGACCTTTCCCGAGGGCCCGCGGAATTACGTGGTGTTAGAATTTATAATTCCTCCATGGGAAAAATTTATTATTAGCCATTCTATGGGGCCCGAGCTTTTTGGGAAAGTCCCGAGCCTCTCCTGAGGACTCGTGGAATTATGGGGAGGTTTTCTGTGGGAAAAATTTACAGTTAATTATTTAAACAGGGTCCTGACTTTTCAGAGAAATCCCGAGCACCCTCCGGTGCCTCGCGGACTTAAATGGGGTTACTTCTTTTCTTCTTTTTGGAAATTAGCGCCATAGCGGGTGCGTTACATACCGTTGGCTGCGGTCAACTGGGAGATTTCCGACATCCGTGTTCGGGTTCGATTCAATAAAAATTAGTTAGTTTTAGAAACGTTAGTACCGTTTTGAGAAATTATTTTTTGAACATTTTCGCCCTTTTCCCCGAATCTACCCCTCTCTCCACAACCTAGCATACTGAGCAGCGCAGGCATCCGTTACCTCTCCCTCAACCCCCTTGCTGAATTAGATATAAGAACGGGTTAGTGATACGTTTTTCGGTTTTAATCTAGACTTAAGTTTTCGAGTTGCTGATGAACCTTTTTAGGTCCCAATTTAGTTGAGTTTTTCCATCGGCAAGGAGGCCAGAGGGAGGAAGGGCGAAGGTGATGGGCATTTCCGGTCGCTTAGGGAAATATCGCGTCACAATAGATTATTGAAACGTTTGGGCTACCGGGATTACTGGTATGTTCTATCACGAACGATAAAAATTGGAATTACAGAAGGCCATATTTTTTGTTCATATTCATAATTAGTATTCGAATAGAGCGATTTTGAAATCGCATTTGGGTCGTCTGACCTGAACAGACTCAACGACTTTTCAAGAAACAATAACACAAAGTCAATATATTACACCACTCGGAGCATAGAACTCAGCCAAAATTAAATACCTAACTCATTATTAACGTAGTAGCTGGACTTTCTGCTGAATTTTAAATCGTAGAGTACTTTGAAAATTTGAACTTCCGAAAATAGAAATCATGAAAATGCACGTATTTAGGACTTAAGGGAGATTTGAATAGAAAACTGCTCGGATCTTCCGGTCACTGTGAATGATTATTCACATGTGCTCTATCTCTATTTTTGCACCTAATGGCGCAGGTTCATTAGATGTTGATATTGTTATCCCCATACCGAGCGTTGAGCTGTTCTACAGCAATATAAGCTCTAAAAGAGTACACGCAGACACTCCGTGGCACTCCCCATATGTTTTCTGTGGTAGCCTTTTTGACAAACCAGAAGACTGAAAATTTGCTTCTCTTCATGGACAAAAACATCACATTGCAATTTTCATGTGTATAAACCATCATCTGAAAATTATTCTTTCATGAAAATTGATTCCTACACGAATATTATGTGCATTTCATACTGACAAATTCATGGACGTATAGTCCGGGATGAATATCGGAATAATAAATAATAAATTTAGGAAAATTTGCTCGAGACCGAGTAGCAGGTAAAGCAGCAGATCACAACTCACACTGCAGCACTCATATAGTTTGTTCTCAAACACGAACATTTCTAAAATAATTGGTCCAATACGATGCGATAAAAAAATGCAGTTACAATGGAATAGGGATATGCAATATGCCCTGGGTTTTTCGAAGGTATGCTGTCAAGTTCTGGGCATCTGGCCAACTCAATGTAATGGAGTTCTACCTTTTCTACGACGTTTACTATTGCTCATCTCTCAGGTATTGAATATCATAATATTAGAGCGATTGAAAATGTAATAACTAATGTGATGCAGATCGTCGCTTGTGTCTTTTTACTGGACAGATTAATCAGATATGGTAACTGTGGATTAGCGACCCATTTGATAGAAGCATGGTGTGGAATTACGGGATTCACGGGGACAGCTATTAAGATTGTGATATTTTCAGTTCATAAAGATCGTATATATCGTATTATTCAGCTGGCAATGCTAGACTGGGCTAATGCTCGAGAAACAAGTGTTCGTCAAATTATGAGCCAATATGCTCAGAGGGGACGTATAGCGTATATTGCTCAAATTGGTGCTGCAGCTATGATTGTGTTTGAAATTTCACTCACTCGACTTCCATGTTTCACAGTAGATTCATTCGAAAACAATTACTCCTCGACGAGAAATCTTATATTAGGACCTCCCTGTTGGATTCCTTCGACCATGCCTGCCAGTTTATACTTTGTGTACTATTTTTCCACGTTCATCGGTTTGTGGGTTATCGTCTTCTTCTATACCGGATGTGATGCATTTATGATTGCTGCTGCGCTGCATATTTGTTGTCAGCTCGAAATACTCAATGCAAGTTTGGAAAACTTAAGTGATGAAGATAGTCATACTCATCAACGATTCAGAATTAATGAATATTCGAAGCGACATAATAAATTATTGGTACTGGGCAATGAACTTAACCACGCAGTTCAGTTGATCATTTTTGCGGACATTTTCAGTAATATGTCTGTTATCTGCATTTCAGGTATTTCAATATATTAGTCTCAGTGGATTTGGAATATGAGTCACATGTATAAGTAATATGAAAATAATAAAGATTATAAATTATGGTTTTTTTTGCAGGGATTGCAATTCTTGTTAACGTCAGGAATGAGAACATGAACAACGATATTTTGAACCTTGTGCTGAGAATGTGCCTTGGCTATACAGGATTATTCATGTATAGCTATGTTGGAGAAAAGCTCTCCTCCCAAGCTGACAAATCAAGGACAATTTTATATGCATGTCCATGGTACAATATGCCAATGGACATTGTTAAAGATATTGGATTTATGATCATGCGTAATAATTCATTTTGTTACCTAACAATCGGTGGAGTTTTTGTTATGAATTATGAGAGTTTTAAACGTTTGACTAAGCTTATGTTTTCATATTTCTCTGTTCTTAAGTTGATGTTGACATGACAGCAATATTTTTGACTTGTTTAATACCGAAATTGATTCTGATAGAATGGCGGGAGGAAGAAAGATATATTGCTTTTCAGCAAGGTGTCCCAGATATGATTGAAGGATTTTTTTCTCCTTAGTGAATCAGAAAATAACAACTTTATTTGTGTTAATAAAGTCAGTAATTAGATAAAATGTAATTACATTTTGCATGTTGTAACACCGACTATTTCTTGACAACAATCTCAACGTTGAGCAGAAAATACTTATTGTTTACCATAACAAACAACAATCACATATTCAAGGGAAGAAATTCATACACTGTATTATAGGTATGATTCAAATAGGGCTGATCACTATGTCATAAGATGGCAGGAGGCCTCCTTCGGTCCCATCGAAAGGATGCACATCAGTGTAATATCGGGGACTACTGGTTGGGAAATAACTTTATATTAAACGATTACGCCTCCAAAGTAACTGTAAATGAGCATAATTTTGAGTCGGAGTAATGCTCATGGACTCACTCCCGATTAGTTTGCATAGTTTTACTGTGTTAGTTTTTTATAGATATTATATTTCTTTCTGAAATACGAAATTTAAATCTCTGGGATGGAGAATTGAATTTAATTCTGCAAATTCGGTTTAATGTCACTTGATATGTATATTTTACCAAATCTTGAATAGTTACACCTTGAACCTTTATTTTTTGAAACCGCGGTTTTCTCGACTGGTTAGTTGATTTTTAATTGACTCGATATAATCCAAATGATTCAATATGAGGATGGGGTGATGGAATATACTTTAAAATTACTTTCAGTTTGCCTGACAGTCTTCGAAAAATAATTTTATCCTAATGTGATTGTCGGTCTTTCTCTAGGCTCACGATTTTGGTTGCAGAACAGTGGGGTTCTATGTTTTTCCACCACACTGAGTTTAAGTTCACACGACCGGTTTCACAAAGTTGTCGAACCGAATTTCCAAAATCTAATGGTTCAAACTTCGAAGCAAAGATCGCATGCGCTGAAAAATATTTGAAAAGACCGTTTGGCGCCGCAGTAGCTCTAATTGATTTTTAACGGGTTTCAGCGACAAAAAAAGAGAGAGAAGGGAATATTTAAAAGTCGGAAATCTCCCACATGACAGGAAGCGATCAAACACGCCTTGGTATCGCCGAAAAATATCAATGTTACGGAGAAGATGGTTTAGCTACCGGTCGTAATTCAAACAGAAATTTCTATCGGAGCCGGGGCTGTGGTCCGATCCGTCAGATAACGTGACTCAAAATTATTCTTAAAAAGAAAGGAACCACTTGGTTCTACGACATTTCGGCGACTGAATTTTTAGTACTATTAATGAGAGTTCATTGTGTGAATTCGGGCGTTGGATTTTCAAAGTGGGGGGTGATGATCTCGAAATTTTGACGAAAATTGGAGACGCGACGTATTCTCCCATGATCGAATTTTCACAGATTTTTGTTCTACTTGTAACGGGGCATTTTCTCATGACCGGAAATGACTGTCTTCTTCGCCCTTCCTCTTTACGGCCTCCTCGCCGATACAAAAAAAAACGGACCAAAATCGGGGCCTGAAAAGGTTGCTGGGTGCCAGCTAATTTTCTAAAGTCGAGGAATCAGCAACTCGAAGCTTAAGCCTAACGAAAAACGAGGACGGAACTCTCAACGTACTTAATCCAACTCAGCGGAGGGGTTAAGGGAGAGGTAATGGATGCCTGCGCGGCTCAGTATGCTAGGTTGTAGAGAGAGGGGTGTATTCGGGGAAAAGGGCAAAGATGTCCCAAAAAAAATGAGAGCAATAGGAAAAACAAAAAATAGGCTCTAGTAATCCACCTCAACTAACTGTTTTATTCCGCGATTTTACCATGGGATGGAATTCTCCCCAGTTGACCGAGGTCACCGGTACAAACAAAAAAAAAGGAACCCCTAATCAGCCCCGCGAGGCATCGGACGATGCTCGGGATTCCCCAGAAGGTTCGGAGGCCCCGTAGAATTAAGTGCTATCAATTTTAAACCATGAAAAGAAAACTTCTACGTGATTCGGCGAAACCTTTGGGATGTTCGGGATTTTTCCAACCCCGCGTGAAACTCCAAAGTAATTATTAATCGATAGTTTAAGGGGTGATCGGTACTTTGAATTATCGTAATAACCCATTGAAGGGTTGATTATTATAGCCCAAACGGGCAATCCACCGAGAAAATCCTCGGAGAAGGCCTGAAAGTGGCGTTGAAAGAGAGAGAGACACATGGGGATAGCGCGCGAGAGAGACAGCGCTACGCTCAACGTGTACGGCGCGTGTGAGGATAAGTTTTTAACGTTTTCAATTTCCCAGCGCGGTAACTAGTCAACCGATTGAGCCCGAATAAACTCCACCACCGAGGGGGATAACTCGCGCCCATCCTCCAAAAATTGGGGATCTTCACCGCGTACGGTGGCCGAGATATCTCTGTTTTTCGGAAATTTCCAATGCCGTTGAGTCCGAGTTCTCGCTCAACGGTAAGCGGAGCGTAGTAGGGGAAATACCCAAAGCCTCGACGGCACGCATACTGCTCAAGGCCAACTGAGAAAAATCCTCACCTTCCAGTGGTGTTTTCGGCGGTTTCCCCGGGGATTTTTACCGGCATTTTCGCGCGATAACCATCAAAACTCCCATGGGGACGGTCCCCTGGGGAGGAACGAATCCTCAACACGCGATCGGCTGTAGTTTCCGAATAAACCATGGCCTCGACGGCGGGAAGACACCGTTCGATCCGTTGATCGAACGGGATATTTTATCACTCCCGAATCACAAACGGGTCTCCAGTCATCGGGGTGACTGGGATAATTCATTACAATATTCTCTCACCTTGGCACGGGACTTGTGTCCGAAGTGGGATCCTCCCATTGCGTACTGTTCTTCCCTCGTGGAAAAACTCTCTTATCACTTCCGCGTCCTGGCGATAACTGCCAAAAACTCTTGCCTCGCCAGAACGTTAGTTGTGGTAGATTAGCTGCGGCGGCGCCGGTGTCGCCCAGTGCGCTAAACCTTCCCATTGAAATTTGAATGGGGGAAAAGGCGTCCCTTAATTTCTACTTTTAAACGCGATTATCGCCGCTAGTCTTCCCGGTTGGCTCCCCGGGGATCCGTGGACAATAAAATTTCTCCTGACACACCCTACGCGACCAACACAATCGGCGATTCAGTGGGGTGTTGGTCGTAACACCCCTACTGACTTCCCACCCTTAAACGTACTTGAAAACACCTTACGGATTCCTCCCTTTCGGGTGCTGGCACTCGCAGCCGGACGGTTCATCCCGGTAAGATTTCGCGAACGGAGTTCCTCCAGCCCACGCCGGATGATAATTTTGATTACCCCTCTTCACGGCGCAATTGGAGGACGGACGCGATTTCTCCGATAATTAATCACTCCCTGATTTATTCCCTAACCTTCACCTACCCTAAAACCTCCCCGACTGGAACCCTCCCCTCAATTCTCTCCACACTAGGCCTAACCTCCGGCCGATCCAAGGAAATTCGCGGAAATTCGGTTATTAATTTAATTACATGTTTTTTTTTCTTTTCGTTTTCTCCACAATTTGTGGAGTCTTAGTTGGGCGCGGTTCCCCCTCTGTCTCTCGGTCCCGCATAATTGATGCACGTCACATACTTTTACTGTGTTTCTCGGGCTTTTAACTAGTTCGAGCTATTCGGAACTATTTAGAAATTGCTGAGGGGCAATTGCTAAATCGATCATGTTTGAGGCCGCAATTTTTAATAATTTTTGCCATTTTCGCCATTGATTAGTCGACATGTTGTCTATACTATAATGGACACTTTCAATGCCTCTCAATAGTCCTGGAACAAAAATATCATAATGCTGGTAGATTCATGGTCCGAACCGCCAGCCGCCCTCTTCTAAAAACTAATGCTGTACTTGTAGAGTCATGATTACAATTACATTCATCCAATATGTGAAGCTATTGAAACACTGCTAGTTGAGACCATGAAAAATATCATTACCTCCAACTTCTTCGAGGCCGTCGTATGTCTCGGATTTTAAATACCGTCTCACAGTATTATCGTCCGGTCTCATATGAATTAAATTACTGCGCCTCTTGTAAACTGTGGCTGAAGCACAGTTATATTGAAACGTGGTATTTTGCCACGCTACTTTTTTAACTATTGCGCCTGTAATGTCCTGAAATGTGTCAGCGGCGAAGGACACTTTTGGGCTAGAATTTTATTAATTAGGAAAATAACAATTTCGAATTATAAGTAAAATATTAATTATTGGAGGACGCAAAGTGTAATTTGTTTCTCTTACCGTGGTTTAAATGGATACAATTATTTTTGGGAACCAAATTGGGATCATTAAAATGGATAATGAAAAAGGGGGAGGAGTTGCCAAATCATTCCGAGACAATTAACAGTAATGGTTTATAATTTCGTTTTGGTTGATAATTACAATAGAAAATTTTACAATTGAATTCGTTTTTGACTAATAGATTTAGAAAAATGCTAAGAAGGAATTATTTTATGCCTGGAATGTTTTTCTTGATAGAGTATCTAATGTTCATGTATTTGCGATTTGGACAGGGGTTGAAGGTGTTTAAGTTTTTAGACTTACTGGTTTCTGATTCTTATGATCGAAGTAATCCTTAATTTTCGGTTGTGAATTCTTCGGTGACACAGAGATTTTTCCTCACCAAAATAAGAGTCTTCTTTTATTCTATTATGAGTACTTGCTCATGAATCACTTTCATCCACTCACTTACACTTTAGGTAGAGTTTTGGAAAAAGTTTTGAGTGAGAATGTCCACAATCACGAAGCGGAATAATTAGTCCTCTTACAATGCAAGAAACACTACTAATTTCGATTTTAGGATACGGTATCCCTGTACAACTTATAGTCGCTAGTTTATGAATTATGTTCAATAAGCGCCACCCTCGATAACAATTGATTAGAAAGACTACCGATTGCGGGGACCGAAAGCAACAGATCGATTTTGCGAGTAATTTCCACCAAGTCAAATTAACGGTCCGACGATTACTTCAAGACTGATGGCATGTCTTATTTTTGGGGAGTACGTCGGTGCTTCCTCAATACACGATTTTATT